ATCTGTCACTTCAGGGGAGAATGACAACTGTGTTCAATTTGGCAGATAAAGTGGCTACATTCAAAGCCAAACTGGAATTATGGGGGCGACGAGTGAACATTGGGGTTTTTGACATGTTTCAAACATTAGCAGAAATTTTGAAAGAGACTGAGCCAGGGCCTTCTTTTTCCCAGCTGGTGCATGATCACCTATCTCAAAATGATCAAAAGAGTTTGAGCATTACTTGCCAACCAGAAAAGACCCCTGAATTGGGAAGGAATGGATCTGTGACCCATTTGTGAATAAGCCAGGTGAATCAATTTTGTCCGTGCTAGAAGAGGATCAACTGCTTCAGACTGAAGATGACGGTGGCCTTAAAAATATGTTTGAGACAACTTCAAATCTCCATACGTTCTGGATTAAAGTCAAGGCAGAATATCCTGAGATTGCCACAAAAGCACTGAAAAGCCTGCTTCCATTTCCAACATCCTGTCTTTGTGAAGCAGGGTTTTCTGCAGTGACAGCAACCAAAACGAGATTACAGAGTAGACTGGACAGAAGCAACACACTTCCGGTGTCACTGTCTCCCATCACCCTCTGATGGGACCATCTATTTGCAGGAAAACAAGCTCAGGGCTTCCACTGATTCTGCATTATGGTGAGTTGTATAATTATTTCATTATATATTACAATGTAATGATAATAGAAACAAAATGCACAATAAATATAATGTGCTTGAATCATACCGAAACCATCCCTTCCCCCCCTCCCCCCGGTCCATGGAAAAATTGTCTTCCACGAAACCGGTCCCTGGTGCCAGAAAGGTTGGGGACTGCTGTATTATAAGATATTTGTGAAGTTTTCATAAAAGTTCCCATAGGAGCTTTTACTGGACTACTGAGACCTAAGAGAGAATTATTCCCATGGATTAAGATAAAACAACACTATAATGGACTGTGTCCTCAACAATATTCTTCATTTATAATAACATAATACAATGTAATATAATTATCACTGTTCTAATGCTAAAATTAAAATTACTAGGAATTCACTTCACAGTATTCATTTAACAGCCTGGCTGGAACCATGGATAATGTTGAGAAAAGCTAGATTTGTGTTTTCCAAAGTGTATTCATTAGAACACTCATTTTATAGGATAATAATAAGTGTTATGCCAGTAAAGAGTTCCAGGATCATTGAGAATTGCTAGGATAAAAAAATTAAGCAGAGGGCTTCCCTGGTGGCACAGTGGTTGAGAGTCCACCTGCGGATACAGGGGACATGGATTCGTGCCCCGGTCCGGGAGGATCCCACATGCCGCGGAGCGGCTGGGCCCGTGAGCCATGGCCGCTGAGCCTGCGAGTCCGGAGCCTGTGTTCCGCAACGGGAGAGGCCACAACAATGAGAGGGCCCCGTATCGCCAAAAAAAAAAAAAAAAAAAAAAAATCAAGCAGAATTTTTATAGTTATATTCTTTAGCACTTTTATTATGTAATATGTTAAAATAATAATAATTAAACAATGTTAAATAATAATTAACTTAATTATTATAATTAAATTAATTAAACTTAATTTCTTATGTTAAATAAATAATGTTAAAGTCCAAGAAGTTGTTTTATCTAGTATGTGCAAGCAATTTTGAGGGGATTGCCTAGCCAGACCAATGTTTTAGGAGACATTGCTTAGAAAATAATTTTCCAGGGGCTTCCCTGGTGGTGCAGTGGTTGAGAGTCTGCCTGCCGATGCAGGGGACATGGGTTTGTGCCCCGGTCCGGGAAGATCCCACATGCCGCAGAGCGGCTAGGCCCGTGAGCCATGGCCGCTGAGCCTGCGCGTCCGGAGCCTGTGCTCCACAATGGAAGAGGCCACAACAGTGAGAGGCCCGCGTACCGCAAAAAAAAAAAAAAAAAAAGAAAGAAAATAATTTTCCAGAAGAATACAGGTAATGCAAGCTAGTCCTCCATGAATGTAAAGAAGTTTCTTAAGACAACTGAACAGCAGAGAGTTTAATATTGCATCTATGTGGGGCAGGTATTCACTGTTGCTGTTGAAAGGCAGGTCCACATTCTGTGTAGAGTTGACATTTTCCAATAAAATCTACAATATGTGCCTGAATCATAGATGATGGCTCAAACTTTGCCCTGAAGTGGGCCAGTGTAGTACCTTCAGACAGGTTCAGATTTTCTTCACTAGTTCATAGGGTTCTATGGTTTGGTGGCTTAGCAGAGAGTGGCAGCAGTTTTAACTTGAACATACTTTAAAATAATCACACCAGTTGCCTATTGTATCCATTAAAAAATAAAACCTAGTAGGGTACTAGTTTTAGCAGTATACATTTCTTACATGCCTTCTAAAATCGATTTAAAAATATATCTTGGGGAAACTAAGTTTATCTGTTATACAGAATGGTTAGAAATAAGCCAAATATTGGAAGACCTCTACTAAAAATAATTGGGTTTTAGAGAAGTTGCTTTTAATCGTTCTGATAGAAAATATCTATCTATTTTTCACAATAACCAAAATATGGAAACAGCGCAAATGTCCACAATGGATAAATGGATAAAAAAGATGTGGTACATATATACACAATGGAATATTATTCAGCCATGGGAAAGGAGGATCTCCTGCCATTTGTGACAACATAGAGGGACCTTGAGCACATTTTGCTAAGCGAGATGAGTCAGTCAGAGAAAGACGAGTACTGTATGATACCCCTTATATTTAGAATAGAAAAAAAATCAAACCTGTGAAAAACAGGAAAATGGTGGCTACCAGAGAATGGGAGGTGGAGGATAAGATTGATAGTACAAACTTGTAACAATAAATAAGTCACAGGGATCTAATACACAGAATAATGAATAGAGACAATAATATTGTACTATAATTATGTAATTGATAAATATCACTATAGCGGCAAACACGTTACAAGATATATATATATCAAAGTAGTAGACTATATACATTAAATTTGTACAGTGTTACATATCAAATTTATCCAATTAAAAAACAGGAAAATTAGATTTTTTTTCTATTGTCACTTCAAGGTTTGGCAGTAAAATTTTAAGAGTGCAGAGGCTGCATTTTAGACAAGAGAATAGTAGTAAATCCTTTCAAAAGCACAGGTATTTGCATTCATTCAAATAGATTATGACAAACATTTCTAATAATAAATATTTTTCTATTTTTAGTTTGCTGCATTTAAATGAGTACTTACAGATAACAACAAAACCAGATGTGTTAGGTTGCTGGCTGTATAACTTACTAATCATACAACAGAGTCTTAGTTGTTTGTTAGTAATAATTGAATTTATCATATATAATCTGTGCTAAAATGATAAAATTGGACTAAATAATCTCCCATAGGTTGGTCATCTAAAATTCTAGATTTTCTGTGCCAGTGTGTTAGCCTTCAAGCTTGGATTTTGAGTTACTCTTCTCTTAAGGGTTTCATAATTGCTTCCTCAGCCACTTTGCTTCTCTTAACAATGAAAAACTTAAGTTTGTTATTTAGAAATAAAATTTGAAATGACATTACAAGTTCAACAACTATCCTAAAACTAATTTCAAAAACATGAAAAAGTACTTAGTAAGATTTCTGTATTCTTCACTTCTTACTGTTCTGTGCCAATTTCTGTAGAAATCTATGTAAATCTGTTTAGCACATTAATTTAAGCATTTTTACTATTAAGAATAAATTAACTTGTTATAAAATAAATGATAAAAGAAAGAGTTAAGGCTTCTTGAAAAACAATGTAGCCTTCATTTGACATTCTAGATATTGAAAAATAATCATTGTGAAAAGAGTGAACATTCATGTAAAGTTTCATTTCTAGTTTATTTACCTTGGGACTCTATATTCCTACTGTGACTGAGAGAGATTATTTCAAGGTTAAGTAACTTTCAGGAGGTTTGAAATAAAAATGAAGAAAAAGAAGTCCAAACAAACTCAGATTTATTTTTGTTCTTTTTTAAAAGCTAATCATTAAAAAATTAAAAAGAAAAAATAGTCAAGTAACAGACACTTTCTGAAAGTTTTCCTCTATTATGTGGAAAACATTTGAATATGCATAACTTATTGAAACCCTACTATACCTAGAACTTGAGAGTTATGAAGAAAACTGAGTGACCTGGAATCCTAAGCAAAAATTAATTTTAGTGAAAGAAAAGTTATGTTGATGATAAAACTGCTAATGTACTAAACGGAATTATACAAAAGAAATATACACTTTACAAGAAGATATATAGAAAAGCAAATGATGGAAGGTGAGGAAAGTATTTTGAAATATATTTTTTGTAGTAAAGAGTTACTTTATTTTTTTTTAATTTTTAAGTTTTACTTTAAATGTATATTGTATCTCCTTTCAAAGACTTTACTACCAGTAAACTGTTTCAAGCATCTGAATAACAATACTGTGAGGAAGGTAACCCATTTTATTACCTACATTACAGGGAAGAAAATTGAAAGAAAGTTGTCTGTAGAAGAAATGTATTTTGTTACATAGAATAAGCTACTATAGAACAGAAAGCAGCTTCCTGACATTAGTTCTACCTGTATCTAATTTGTTTAGTTTATTTACTTTGTGCATTTTCTACATAAATAGAATAGTTGCATTTTTAGTAATGAGTCTGAATACTCATGTATTTAAAAAGCTAATCATCAATATTTAGAGGAAAAACAACATTGAAGGTACATGAAATACGTTTTTATTTTCTGGCAGTGGACTGAAACATAAAGGTGAATGAAATGACCCGAATTTCAACATTACATCCAGCTTTCATTGTAAAGCAAACCTAGATTGCATCAGAACCTTGAAAAAATCATGGGAACTGTTTCAGAGGGGAATCCCAACCTTTATTTTAAGGGAGGGGGAGATGTGTTGGAGGGGAAAAGCTCATATAACTATGAAAAGGTTGATGGCTTCTGCTGTGATCCCTGAGGACATTTGAACTAAAAGAAACATCTTATCAGATTGGACAGTTTTCAGTTTTTGTTTTCAACCTCTCTTCTTATTTGTTTTACAGTGGATGGAACTGAGGTTCAACACTCTGGCAAAATGCCCACACTGCAAAAAAATGTAAGTTCTGTACCACTGGAAATAATGTTGGGAAATATTTGAGAAAAATTTAAAGAGTTCAGAATTCTCACTTAAGTAAATTTTGACTTTAAGACATACTATGGGATGAATGTATGGTTAACATGTTTATGCTTTTCAAGACTAAAAAAAAGACGTCTTTGGACTGATTAATATGTTCCATTTTGAAATTGAAATGATTGGGATTATCTATTCTCTAAAGGTAAATCAATTTACCTTTAGAGAAAGTGAAAATTACTAAAATTATCAGTAACCTGGTAATGATTTTCAAATGTGCTAAGTGGTTATAATCTGTTGCAAATAATCTAAAATTTATATTTTTAAAATGGACTGTATAAAAAAAATGGACTGTAATCTTGGAGAAAACCAAATTTTGGGGGGTTTATAATTAGGAAGTTGGATGGCAAAGTTTTTATAATTATTTATCTCTCTTCAGTCAATTTCTCTGTATTCCTAAATGGTGTACCTAAGGAAAATAACAAAAGGCAATATAAAAATGGGAGAAACTAGAAGACATTTTGATTAAAGACATTTTATGCCATCTATGTTGGGAGACCCCAAGTCACCCTAAGATTTTTTGACTTTCTAGGAGAACTAATAGGACTTAGTATACAGTTATACTCACAGCTTTATGGTGAAAGTATGCAAAACAAAATCAGCAAAAGAAAAAGGCATATGGGGCAAAATCTGGAGGAAACCAGGAGCAAGCTTCTAAGAGTCCTCTCCCAGTGGAGTCATAACAGGACTTCATTCCTCCAGCAATGAATTGTTACAACATATGTGAAATGTTTTTGACCAGAGAAGCTTATTAGGTCTAATTGGAGCTGGTCACATAGGCACCTGCTGCATAGCGCATGCCACAATTCCATATTCCCAGAAGGAAAGCAGGTATTTGGCATAAGCCATATTGGTTGTACAAGTAATTTAGGTATAGCAACCCACTCTTATCAGTAAGGGAATAGTTAGAACTTTTTTGAAATCTAAGTTCCAGGTGTCAGCCAAGGGCTTACCTTACAAGCCAACTTGTCTAAGGATAGCAGTGTTAGGCCTGCTATACTCTTTTCTGCACAGCATCTATTTTTTTTTTTTCTTGCGGTACACGGGCCTCTCACTGTTGTGGCCTCTCCTGTTGGGGAGCATAGGCTCTGGACGCGCAGGCTCAGTGGCCATGGCTCACGGGCCCAGCCGCTCTGCGGCATGTGAGATCTTCCCGGACCAGGGCACGAACCCATGTCCCCTGCATCGGCAGGCAGACTCTCAACCACTGTGCCACCAGGGAAGCCCCCACAGCATCTATTTTGATAATGAAATTTTAATTCAAAAATTACTGTTTTCCACTTACATGTGTGGAAAGTAAGCAAAGGAAATTAGACTGGAATGTTTTGATAATTAATATTTAAAATAAAAAATATCAGCTCATAGTTACATTTTTGTGATCCTTAGAATAATATAAATACTATATCTATTTTGAGAGTAAAATAATCCTAAGAGTGGTTTATAGGAGGAAAGAATTAAAAAGTGTCTGAGAAGTAGAATATATGTAACAAAATATCTCCATTTATTTGTGCTAGATCTGATTCCAGCTAAATATAATCCTGTGGGAATAACTTCTTTACAGCACATTTCTAGCTTCAAAGGAACAGATATTTCCTTTTTTATTTATTTGTGAAATTAATCATATGAATGCTTAACTTAGCTGAATCCAGGACAAGTCTGTACATGGAGAAGCAAAGTGGATAACCCAAAATAAGTGCACAGAAAAATATATACTTCAGGGACATACCAAATACACGTGTGTGTGAATAATCCATATTTCTGTATGTTATCTGTATTTTCACAAAATGAAGACAATTAAATTGCATATATCTTTATGAAGAACATTAAATTAGATTTTAAAAATCTTTTAGAAAATAAAAAACTTCTAATGATTAGCAGATTGTGTGCTAAGCACAGTGATTGTTGCTTTGCGTACACATATATATTAGCTGTAATCTTTACAAAAATCCTGGCTAGCAAGAATTATTATCCTCATTTTATAGATGAGGAACTGTTAGAAAGGGTAAGGATTTTGCTCAAGTGATTTGCTTGGTTGGTTAATTATTTTAGAACAATGGCAATATTTTGCTAATAATAAAGAAGTATTGAATGTCTAGATATTCTACCATTGGTTAAGGTATCACAAGACTGTATTAATGTGGAGAAGAATTTATCAATTACTTAAGGAACAACTTGCTTTGAAATTCACATGAAATAAATCAGCTTAAATATCATTCTTAGAGGAATGTGTGTAGAATTGGAATCACATGCTGAGCTTGGGAGGACTTAGGGCATGCATTACTTATTTGAGCAAAAATGCTGTTATTACATGAACACTCAGGGGTCATATCTAGATTTCTTTTCTTTTTGAATGTTTTTCTTAAAAAACTGATGAGTCATCTGTTGAAGTAAGATTCTGAGATTTTTATTTCTTTAAACTCAAATAGCAAATGTCCTAAAATTATTTTTAAGTTATAAAAGTTACTAAATCATTGCTATGAAACTAGCGTGTTATTTTTATATCTCACAAAACAAGTGGGGAATACCTTCCCCCAGGGCTCCAGAGACCAAGAAGCATTTTTTATCTCACTGTATTTTTACTCATGCAATCACTGAGGCTATTGTAGCTGAAGGTGAGGTTTCTCTTTCAATTGGGCAGCTTGTAGCTACTGCTGGGCAGGAGATGTAGTCCTAGCATTCTGAAATGACAACTTGGACGATATTTCCATGAAGATGTTTTAATGGATTTAAGATTAGTAGACATGATGATTTAATCCATGATAATTATCAATGAATATCATTTCTCCTACATCACTGAGGTACTTTGGGGATCTCTTCCAGTCATTTTAATCAATAGCAGACTCATTCTCAGAAGTTATCCTCTTATTTTTCTGTTTAGTGCTTTCTTTTATAATTATTCATTAATTCAACGTCCTGTGCTAGGTACTAGGTGCTCAAAATAAAGATATAACCTTGTTTTCAAGGGACTTAGTCTTGTGGGTATATGGAAGAGAATAGACCATTACAATAAAGTTTTAAGCACTTTGGAAGGGTATACCCAGCATGCTCTGCTCTGAAGGGCCCCTAATACAGACTGGAGGGAAAGAGAATGTGAAAGAAGGCTTCCAGGAAGGAGGGATGTTAAAGATGACTTGGAGTGATATGAAAAAAAGGGCCAATGGTTCCTTGTAGGAGGAGCAACCTGTGCAAAGGTATAGAGGTACAGAGGAGTCAAAGTATAGGTGTGCTATGAAGGAAATGGAATAGATAGGGTTTAATGTGAAGGGACAAAAGAGAGATTGGGGTCAAGAATGACCTTGTATCTGAGAGGCTGTAGAACCATTCACTAAGATAGGGAATGAAAGATCTAGAAGAACTGTGTCCAGCAGAGAGATGATAAGCTCATTTTGAATGTAGGTATAGAGAGACTCCTAGGTTTTCTAGATCATCATCCCTTGAAATTCAGATCCATCTACCTGCTTTTCAAACCACCAATCTTGCATCAATATGGCCATGGCTTCTTCCTTCCTTTACAAAGACAACTGAGAGCTGAAAAAATTCTATGTTGATTAGCTCTTTACAAATCTAAAGCTTTACATTTCAGCTAAACCCTTGCTTGATATTCCCTATTTAAGTGTCCTTGATTAACTCTCTCCCCCATTCCTCAAAGTGGTTATCTCCAGATATTTTCTGTTCCTCTTAAACCCCCATCCCTCATACCCTCTTCTCTATCTCAGCAAATGAGTTGCCTTCTTCCTGTCTCTCTCAGATGTTTAAGGCTATCTGTGAACTCCCTCATCTTCACACTTTCTACCTCTAAACATTTTTTATATCTATGCTCACTTTATTTCTTCTTAGAGGGATGCATGTCTCTTCCTTTCAAGGCATATCTCTTTAGTTCATCATGGTGCCACATTTCTCCAGGAGTAAAGTAGAATTAGCATCAGTCCCCACTAGGCCACTGAAATTTGCTCTGACAAAATACATGTCCCAATTGCAAATTTTATTTTTTAAATTTATTTTTAATTGAAGTTTAGTCGAATTACAATGTTGTTATTACTGCTGTACAGCAAAGTGATTCAGTTATACATATATATATATACATTCTTTTTCATATTCTTTTTCATTATGGTTTATCCCAAGATATTGAATATAGTTCTCTGTGCTATACAGTAGGACCTTATTGTTTATCCATTCTATATATATCAGTTTGCATCTGCTAATCCAAACTCCCAATCCAACCCTCTCCCCACTTGGCAACCACCAGTCTATTCCCTATGTCCCTGATTCTGTTTCTGTTTCATAGATAGGTTCATTTGTGTCATATTTTAGATTCCACATATAAGTGATATCATATGGTATTTGTCTTTCTCTTTCTTATATACTTCACTTAGTATGATAATCCCTAGTTGCATCCATGTTACTGCAGATGGCATTATTTCATTCTTTTCTATGGCTGAGCAGTATTCCATTGTGTATATGTACCACATCTTTTTTTTAAAAAAATATTTATTTATTAGGCTGCGTCGGGTCTTAGTTGTGGTGCGCAGGCTCTAGAGTGCTTTGCAGCATGTGGGATCTTAGTTCCCCGACCAGGCATTGAACCTGTGTCCCCTTCATTGGAAGGTGGATTCTCAACCACTGGACCACCAGGGAAGTCCCTGTACCACATCTTCTTTTATCGATTCATCTGTCAATGTACATTTAGGTTGTTTCCATGTCTTGGCTATTGTGAATAGTGCTGCTATGAACATAGACGTGCATATATCTTTTTGACATAGAGTTTTTCAGGATATATGCCAGGAGTGGGATTGCTGGATCATATGGTAGTTCTATTTTTAGTTTTCTGAGGAGACTCCATAATGTTTTCCAAAGTGGCTGCACCAAATTACATTCCCACCAACAGTGTAGGAGGGTTCCCTTTTCTCCACATCCTCTCCAGCATT